ATCAAACACCGCATGTTCTCACTCATAGGCGGGTGTTGAACAATGAGAACACATGGACACAGGGAGGGGAGCACTACACACTGGTGTCTGTTGGGGGAAAACAGGAGAGGGACAGTGGGGGGTGGGGAGTTGGGGGTGAGATAGCATGGGGAGAAATTCCAAATATGGGTGAAGGGGAGGAAGGCAGCAAATCATGCTGCCACGTGTGTACCTATGCAACAATCTTGCATGTCCTTCACATGTACCCCAAAACCTAAAATGCAATAAAATAAATTTAAAAAAATAAAAATAAAAATAAAAATTATAAAATGAAGATAAAAAAAAACCAAACATGGGCAAAAGACATGAAGGGACATTTCACCAAAGAAGATATACAAATAGCAAATAAATACATGCGATGATATTCACCATTAGCTATTAGGAAAATGTACATTAAAACTACAATGAGATATCACAGCTCACCTGTTAAGAATGGCTAAAATTTTTTAAAAACTGTAACACCACCAAAGGCTGTCAAGCATACAAAAAAACTAGATCACTCATTTGTTACTGGTGGGAATGTAAAAATGGTACAGCCACTCGGCAAATTCATCTGGCAACTTTTTATAAACAAAAACCCAGCAATTGCATTACTGGCATTTGTTCCAGAGAAATGAAGACTTATGTTCACAAAAACACCTGTATATTAAAACAGCATTATTCATAATAGCCAAAAACTGGAAATAGCCCAAAATGTCCTGCAATGGATAAATGGTTAAACAAGCTGCGGTAAATCCATACCACGGAAACCGCTCAACAGTAAACAAGGAGGAATTATTGATATGATATGGATAATCTGCAAAGAATTTGAATGAGAGGGAAAAAAGCCCATCCTGCCAGCTGTGGTGATGTGCATCTGAAATCCCATCTACTCAGGAGGCTGAGGCAGAAGGATTACTTGAGGCTAAGAGTTCAAGTTTGCAGTGCACTGTGGCTGCACCTGTGAACAGGTAAGCAACATAGTGAGATTGTCTTTAAAAAAAAAAAAAAAAAGCCATCCCAAAAGTTTATATACTGTATGATTCCATTTATGTAACATTCTTAAAATAACAAAACTCTAGAAGTGAAGAACAGATTAGTGCTTGCCTCAAGCTAAGCTAAGGAAGGGATAGGATCAAGAGCGAAGTAGTTGTGGCTATCAAAGGCAACATGAGGGGCCCTTGTTGGGATGGAATTATTCTGTATCTTGACTGCACCCATGTCAATATACTGATTGTGACAATGTACTATAGTTTTGCAAGACATTACAGTCTGCAAGATGTTGGGGGAAACTGAGTAAAGCATTCTCATGATGGCAACTTACAAAGGTACCAAAAGTAGAGGAATCGGAGCCTATTTTCTATTAGGAGGTTTTGTCTGCAGTGCCCTCTACTCTCTTCAGTCCTCCTGCCCAGCCTATAAACCCCCTATAAACAACATTCACACAGACACAGCCTCTTGCTTCTGCCCACTCTTATTTACTCTTTAGAACTAGGATTTAAATATCTATCCTCTTCTCTTAAAAAAGCTTTTCTTTTACTCCTTGCCTGGTTTGGAGTAAATACTCCTCTTTGGCACTCCCATTATCCTCTGTACAGTCTATCACTGTGGTATCACATTGTCTTTTAATAATCAGTTCATATATCTGTTTCCCATGCAATTCTATAAACTTCTGAAGAACAAAAACTATCACCAAATTCATTTCTGTACCCTCAGTACATAGCTCAGTGCCTGATACAGGAGATAATAAATATTTGGTGTAACACAAATAAGTCTGCCGGTAAGGATGCTACACAGTTACTATTACTTACATTTTCCCCTATTCCAAAAATGTACAATTCTGGTAGTTTTGCTAAGGCCCAGGGCTATCTAGAATACCCCACCCTCAACAGCTGAGGAGTAAAAGAGCAGTTCTGTAGTTCACTTGTACCCACAACCCAACATATAAGGAAAGGCCAGACAGTTGGGACAACCATATTCTCACCTGCCATCTCTGATGAGCTCTTCAGCTGACTCAATAAGCTTATTAAGTTTCTTTACTTGTTTATAGTGTGCAAAACATCTTTTATGATCCTGGTCAAGTTTAAGACATTCCCGAACTTCACTGTTCACATATTTAAAAAAAAGGAAAACACTTCATGTCAAAACAATCAGTGAGTAGTTTTCCACACTAAATACAGAAATCACAATAAAAATATTTTTTGTTTGCAACAATTAAACAAGAACATACTGAGACTTATGATTTACTATATACACATATATATATATGACATTGTATCATGCATACATTTGTTAATTCAAATTAAAATGACTTAGCATTATACAGTAAATACTCTACTTTGTTTCTATAAATATAATAGCCTTCCTATTTATTTTAATAAGCAGCTTCATGAAAACAAACTACATGGAATTAAAGTAACTTGGGAGTAACACAAAATATATAAATGGATATACAATATAAGCACAGCCTTAACCACCATCTTAATATTAAAATGTTAAAACAAGATGAGCTCATCTTACTGCCAACAATAAAACAGATGGGATGTGTGTCAGTAGAACTGACCTGAGGGACAGTTCGTGGTCTCCTAGTTGGTAGTACAGTGTGCTTATTTTATAAAATGCCTCGGTATTATCATTCTTCAACTTTGATGCAGCTTTTAAGTCACTTATAGCTTTCCTAGGTTCTCCTTCTTTTATAAAACATTCAGCTCGAAGTTCCCGTAGTTCTGCATCCCAAACACAAACCTTGAGGGATAAAAAAATAAGACTTTAAGAAAGAAAAAATTATCCACATTCATTGTTGAATTCCACATATTTTTTATCAACATATTTTATCAACAGAAAAGTTTCAATTAATATGACTTATATTGTGCAAATATTATTTTAAAATCTAATACAATTTAAATGTGACAAAACTGATGTGACAAAATAGTTTCTCCAAAAATGGTGTAAATGAATTCTAATGGGGGAAGGGATATATATAATAACAAGGCCCTTTTCTTACTGCCTTTGATTGTATAACTCTAAGACACTGAAAATAAGAAAACATAGCATTTACTATCGGAGGGTTGTTCCTAGTGAAGCATATTTGAAGAGAATATTCTGTTATCAGATTTTTATACTTAATCAACAATTCTAATTTCTAGTCAAAAAATAAAATCTAGGTTCTAAATTGGCAAAATATTTTTTTCTGCTAATAACTAAATTAAATTCTCAGCTAGGCACAGTGGCTTACGCCTGTAATTCCAGACTGGCTTAGGCAACACAGCAAGATCTCATCTCTACAAAAAGTTAAAAAAAAGTATCAACTGGGTGCGGTGGGACACACCTGTGGTCCCAGCTACTCAGGAGGCTGCAGTGGGAGGATCACTTGAGCCCAGGAGTTTGAGGTTACAGTGGGCTATAATCGCACCACTGCACTCCAGTCTAGGTAACAGAGACCCGGTCTCTAAAATATGTATATATATTTAAAGAAATTGTCTTCTGTAAAATGTCACCTCCTTAAAAATAAATCCTCATATCAAGAAAAAAGAAAGAAAGAAAAAATACCGTGAGAGGGCAGGAGGTTGAGGCTTCACCATTCCTATTTTACCAAAAAGTCCATAAGAGTTTAGTAAACACAACAGTATTCTTCAAATCATAAACCCAAGAGCTCATCAATAAGGCTGATGGAAGTATCTTTGCATATTTCTTACAGCTGTTCTAAAGTCATATCAACTTTTCACTTATATGAAAATATCAAAATCAATATCATACATAAATATCATGGACAATAACTTAGGTCAAAATGGATAGTTTATAGAAGGTAAAACTGTAAACTGTATGTCCTTAATAAAGCATAAACAAAATAACCTAATAAAATATGAATTCTACTGGACCTTATCACAAAATCTTCTGTAAAATTATCAATGAAATGCCCATTCTGCACATGTTTACTGCCAAAATTAAATGAAACTGTGTATCAAAGTACTATGAAAATCATAAATAAATGTTAATTACTACTGCTTCCATTTGAATATTTCAGTAGACTTCCTTTGGGAATCAGTTGTCATTAACTCCTTCGAAAGCAAAGAAACCTAGACTTAGGTTTCCCTAGCTAGAACTCTCTGGATCCTATCAATCATTATTAACTTTTCTTTTTTGAGATGGAATCTCACTCTGTGACCCAGAATAGAGTGCAGTGACGCGATCTTAGGTCACTGCAACCTCTGCCTCTCGGGTTCAAACGATTCTCGTGCATTAGCCTCCCAAGTAGCTGGGATCACAAGCATGTACCACCACACCTAGTTGTTTTTTTTTTTTTTTGTAGACGCAGGGTTTCATCATGTTGGCCAGGCTGGTCTCAAACTCCTGGCCTCAAATGATCCACCCACCTCGACCTCCCAAAGTGCTGGGATTACAGACATGAGCCATGGTATTCGGGCAATTACTAATATTTTTAGACAGGGTCCTATTCTGCCGCCCAGGCTGCAGTATAGTGGTGCAATCACAGCTCACTGCAGCCTCAAATTCCTGGGCTCAAGTGATCCTCAAGCCTCAGCTCCCACGTAGCTAGGACTACAGGAACATACTATCAACTCTAACTGCTTTATTATCTAGATATTTTTCTCTAAGCATTCCTCTTTCCTCCGAACGTGATTTTTCCTTTTACTGCAACCATCTCTTTCTTCTTTTATCCCATTATCTAACCACTAGAGTTTTCTTCCCAAAAACATACAAAACCAAACTAAAATAGCAAAGCAAACAATGTATAAATATATTTAACTCTCATGCCATAGCGCATTCAGTGCATTTACTGAAAACTTCATTCCAAGTTTTTTCTACATAAACACTACTTTATACTTAAGAGCTGAAAGCCCAAGAACCAACCTGATTTTTTCCTGCCTAGGTTTTTGTGGTATGTGACATATCAAAGTATATCCTTACCTCTAAAATCTTATCAAGGAAGGCTATGGCAGCAATATAATCTCCACTTTGAAAAGCATCAAGTGCTTGTGAACGCAAACGTTGCATTTCATCAGATTTTATAAGTTGAGACTGTGCTTCCTTTTCTTCATTTTCACTTGGATTAGATTTGAGCTATAAGGAAAATTAAAAGTTAAATTAAGCAGAGTTTTTAATCTCTTCAATCTGATACCCATAATATACACAAGGGTTAACCATTCCAAATACTTAAGTTCATTGGGTAAAAAGGGTAAAGAGATACTGGAAAAACTGGCTTATCTGATGACTGGATGTAGCAAGGTAGGCCCCTTAGTTCTACCAGTATGGCCCACGAGCATGAACAACAGATCTAGACTCAGAAGACCTGGGTCTTGCAAACTTACCAGGAAGCAAATATATGTAGGCATGTGAAAGGACACAGAAGAACGAAGGAGGGAATGCACGTTTCTCACTTTCTTACATATAGCTCTGCAGAATAAAGTAACTTGAGTTTTATTTATTTTGCCTTCTAGTTATATTTCCTAAGTATTTTTTTACGTTTAAAAGAACCAAAATAATGACACACATAGGGAAACTAAAAGAAGGGGCCAGCTTTTTTAGAGGTTGTAAGATTTTTAAAAAGATCTGATACCAAAGGGATTAAAATACAACAAGAAAGAAGGAATTTAGAAGGAAATATAAAAGAGTAATACCTTACTAAAAGGGGCATAATGTGGTTTTCAGAGTTCTGCACACTGCCTCATTATAAAATAACTTTATGAAGACATAATTTATATAACATAAAATTGCTCATTTCGAATTTACAATTATATGATTTTTTAAAAGTAAGTTTACCAAGTTGTGCAACCGTCACCACAGTTTTAGACCATTTCATCACCCCAGTAAGATCTCTTGTTTTGACTTACAGTTCATCCCCACTGCCAACCCCAGCGCTGTGCACTCGGATTCTTAATTTCTTCCTCCAAACAAAAAAATCATGTCTCAGAAAACCAGCTAGCTACATTTTTTAAACCTGGGGGTGAGGAGGTTAAGATTGTAGTTTATATGTAATAATTTTTGAAATCTTAGTATTCTTACTAAGATGGAAAGTATAACTGAAGGGTTCCAATTTTGGGTGAGATACAGACAAAGGAAAGTCAATTCTGGAAATCTCCCCCCTCAACGAGTCAATCACACTCCTCCTTTCAGTGGATTAATTTTTAAAATATACTCCCACCTGGTGGGAGAGAAAACTCCAAATGAGAAACTTTATCAATATTATTTCTTGATAAGGATGCTTATCCATTTTATGTTTTAGGATATTTTAGCTATTCTATTTTGTCTGTTTTAACCCTTGACTTTTGAAGAACAGGACTTGAAGTATTTATAGGGAACTAGGAATTGGTAACCTCCACTCACTCTGGGGGAGGGTTTCCCTCAATGATTGCATCATGCAGTTTAAGGGTGTTTTGGCGCCAGACATGCTTGTCTCTGTTTTATCATCCTTAGGGTGGTCTTGAATACTTCTGATAGACGCCATCAGAGAGAGTATGAATGTGTGTGCACTGTCACTTTGCTCTGGGTAAAAGTTTATTGATAACTTGTTTCCTATGAGTATACTACTGACCCTTTTAGATAGAATGTATCAAAGACTGACTGCCTCTTCAGCATAGAATTTGTACCTTTTTTCCTCTCAAACATTAGAGTCTAATTTTTCCACACAGTTTTTCTTGTTGGAAGGTGAGAGGAGAAGCTCTAAATCTTGGGACAGAGGGTGGAGGGTTCAGGCAATGGGAACAGGAAAGAGGGAGTGAGCTCAGGTCATCTAGGCCTCTGTGGGGCCAGAAGACAGGTGGGGAAAAGGGAGAGAGGATTCTTCCAAGGAAGTAAGAAAGGAGTTGGGAGAAACAAACGAAGGGCTTCCTTAGAAGCCTGAGAGTTTCAAAAAGAGTCAAGTGAGATGAAGTTTGACTTTTGGGGGATTTTTTTTTTATTCTTTAAAGAGACAGGGGACAGGGTCTTGGTCTCTCACTCAGGCTGGAGTGCAGTGGCACGTTCATAGCTCACTGCAATCAGATCTTATGAAACTTATTCACTATCATGAGAAAGACCCACCCCCATGATTCAATAACCTCCCACTGGGTCCCTCCCGTGACACATGGGAATTATGGGAGCTACAATTCAAGATGAGATTTGGGTGGGGACACAGCCAAACCACATCAATTAGTGATATCCTTACATTTTCCTGCTTCATTATGAATTAAACAACTGTTTGAGCTCATCCTCTGTGTCCGTTTTCCTTGTGCAGGCTGTGTCTGTAGGACAGTGGTTCTAGGGATTGGCCTCAGAATCTCATTACAGTGTTAAATATTGAAGACACCAAAGAGCTTTGTTTATCAGTATTTACTATATTAGAAATAAATTTGAGAAATTAAAATGTTAGTAATGAAAAGTTACTACATGGTAATATAATTTTGCGTGTAAAAATAACTGTTTTCAAAAACAAAATTTTAATATTGAGTAGTATTTCCCATATTTGCAAATTTCTTTATCTGTTTTAATTGAAGAACATAAATGTCATATCTGCTTCTGTATTCAATCTGTTATGATATATGCTTTGGTTGAAGTATATTGAAGATCTCAGCTCACTGCGACCTCCATTTCCTAGGTTCAAGTGATTCTCCTGCCCCAGCCTCTCGAGTAGCTGGGATTACAGGCCCATGCTACCACACCCAGTTAATTTTTGTATTTTAGTGGAGACCATGTTGGCCAGGCAGGTCTCAAACTCCTGACCTCAAGTGATCTGCCCACCTTGGCCTCCCAAAGTGCCGGGATTACAGGCATGAGCCACCATGCCCAGCCAAAACTGGTTATTTCTGAATTTGTTATCCTGAAACAACATAGTGATCCTTTCTGCATTAAAGAATTAAAGATGGGAAAAAACAATGATGACAGTTATTTTGATATATAATAGATTTATGTTAGTTTGAACTGTTTACAATTGATATAGATCCACAGACTATCAATGGGGAGTTTATCAAATTTCTTACCAAAGGTTTATACTTGATTTAAAAATTAAATTGCAACTGGCACCATTATTTACCTAATATATGGTTTCTCACAAAATGCAGGTTTCTAGCTTTGTCAAAATAAAAAATAGTTTCATGAAATGACTATTCAAATTGATCATTGCTTTTTTATATTTGGATCTTCTGGAATACTGCCTAAATTTAAATATTATCCATATAAGCCCAAAGCATGAATAGCAAAGATACAGTAAACACTGAAAACCAAGAATAGATGAGTTTAAACTGCATTTATGGAAGTATGTTGGATTTGGGATTTTTAAAAAGTTTGTGAGAATCAGGAAGTTTTTATAGAAATAAGGCATTCATATTTTCTCTACCTGTCCCTCTCCCTTAAATGATTTCTCTCTGGGACTATCTCAGGGAATAGCATGGACAATTTGAACAATCTAGAAACCTGGATATCATAATTCCTTTGTCTCAGTCACCCCAATCAATGCATCTATCTGGAGCCAACCTCCTAAACATCTACCCTACCTACATTAGCCTACTCTTTGACCACTGTAAGGTTACACTTGGATTACTTATTTACTGCAACAAAGTCATTTAGCAGACTCTCTGCTTCTCCCATTGTCTTCTTCCAATCCATTCTTCAGAGCAACCAGTTGATCATGCTAAGCCAAAAACTGTTCACACTACTTCCAATATAAACCTTCAATGGCCATAAATGCACAAACCGTGGCTGAAGTACAAAGTCAAATCTAAAACTCAAGGTTCCTACCTCTTTTTCCACAGCTTTTCTTTTTTCTTCAAAATGTATCAAATACAACTTTACAAGAGTGTCAACCTAAATAACAAGCATTCTCCAAAGGTACTGAGTTTATTCAGGAGTGTGCAGGCAATATGCAAATCCAGCATATGTGGGCTATACAGACCACAGGCATAACCAAACAGGTTGAAACCAGGAGAAGCTTTTAAAGGCAAAAGGGAAAAGCATAGGCAATTTGTTTGGAAACAAAGAGAACATTGGATACAGGGGAGACTGTGTCAGTCAAGTGTTCTTGTGCATCCAGCTAGCTATCCTTGTGACTCATGTAGCAAGCTGCAGTTTGAGCTGCAGTGGCCACTGCAGGTGGGGAATGTCAACAGGGCTTCATGGATGTAGAGATGCAGGGGCTACTGGCAAAAGTTCTTATTACAGACATATGTGCAGAAGAGCCCTAAGAGAAGCTGTGTAGCAGTTCTCATAATAAACACGTGTGTGAGGACTCCTTTCTTAACCTCCTGGCTTTTTTTTTGTTAGGGTTTGATACAAGTGACTTCATTTTGATTCTGACAACACTCACAAGGGGAAAGAGCTAGAAACTTTAAATAACTGTCATTCAATCATATCAATTGAACAGACATAAAAATTGTATGTAGTTATCAACATTTACAATTATTGTCATTGTATTGATGTTATTATGTATGCCCAAGCCTAAAAAACCAACCCTTACATAAATAATTCCTATTAATGAGTATCACTCTATTATATAGATACAACATTCTCTAATAGTTTCTTTCCAGAGCAAATGGAGCCCCAATAAGTATCTCTGGGCAAGATGTTTTTCTTTTATAATACTTAATGTTAGACTGTGCCACAAAAACTCTGCTTATGTTTGCAAGGTCAACATATTATATGACTGGAACCATTTCCTTTAAGACCTATCAATATTAGTCTGTAAAATATGTACTGATTTTTGCTAAACTTAATGGCCAGTGGTCTCTGAACAGTTTTAATATTCGTCTCTTTATCTGGAAGAACGAACATTGTATGCACTGGCTTTGAATTCGTATTTCTTGTGTTACCCTACTGATAATATTCTTTTATCATCTGTCCTATAGAATGGAGGTTCCAAATGCTTGTAATTTAATCAATTTTTAATATGCTAAATAAGTTTTTCTCAGCATTCCAATTACATGACCCTCTGTCTCTCTCTCTCTACCACCTTTGAGCAGGACTATACATCCTGATCAAAGTACACACATATGAATTTGCCAATTATTAATGTGAATTTTAAGTCCTACAATGAATTTGGACAAAATATTCCAGATAACCTAAACTTACTTCAAACAAAGCTTAACATAAAA